GATGCTTTACGCCTTCGCGCGTTACAGGTACAGATCGTAGCTATCGTCGATAGCAACTCTGCCGTTGAAGGCTAAAATGTGTGCTGCAAGAGTGCCGCGCTCGTGCCGCGTTGTGCATAGAACAGTCCTTTCGCCCGCGTGGTCCCAGGTCTCTGATGCTCGACAGTGGACCAAAGGCTTGAAAGCTCTTGCCTCTGCGTGCTTTTGAGTGTTGCCGTCGTTACTTGAGTGATGCTTGGGCAGATGGTGTTTGCTTGTCCCAGCTTCTTGAGCGATTGTGAACCCGCTACTGTCGGATCCGAGCTTTCTTCAGGACGACCGTCGAGTGTTATGCTAGGGCTTACTGGAATGCCGTTCTCGAAGCTTTCAGGGACAATGGAACCGAAGCTGAGTGGTCTTTAAATTTTGTCATTCGCATACTAAACATTCTTGACAACATGGCTGCCTTGCTAGCTCTTCAGAACGGGCGGAGAGCCGTGCCTCTTGGGGCCCCGCAGCCTCCACGGGGCCGCGGCGCGAACGTGAGAGTGCGCTCGCTGAATCCCGGGCAGAACACTTTCTGGATGAGGCAGGTCTTTGTGGAGAGGGGTGAGGTCGCTTTCGATTCGGACGCTCCAGAGGAGTACCTCGTCATGGAGGACCTCTTGCAGGCGGAGGGGGCCTTGCACGATCTTCTGACGGTTCAGTTGCCCTTCATGGTGAAAGTCATCATGCGCATCCGCCTCTCTGAGGAGGGTACGGACCCCGAGACCGACGAACCCCGGTTATTCTTCAGCGAAATGCGTTTGGCCACCGTACCCTCGCTGGTGCGTCCTCTCGCAGATCCCATCGAGAGGCTTCGACGCTACGTCGTCTCGGTGGCTCGGAAGACCCTCGGCGATCGTCTGGAACACGCGAAGTTCAACAACAGCCTAAGCAAGTTCGAAGGCATCCTCGACTTCCAGATCTTCGCGACGCCGAGCAGGGAGCTGGCTCAGCTTCCCGCCGCACCGGGAGGGGGCTTCGATGGAGGCTGTTGGAAAGAGCTACCACTACTCTTACGACGTGGCAACAAGGGTCTGTGGTCTCCCAGGAACTCCGACCACCAGTGCTTTCGCTACTGTGTTATGGCGGAACTGCTTGGCTGCCGAGAGTGGACCTCGGACTTCCGCAAGAAGGCCTCCCCGTGCAAGGGGCAACCGTTCTACGTTTTTCCTCGAGGCCGACCCACGAAGCAGCAGCGCGCGATGCCGCTCGTCGACGTGTTCGTGGATGGGCGGCTCGTCGACTTCAGCATGCTGCCGGAGATTTCTGTTTCCTTCGAGGCCATCGAGAAGTTCGAACGGGCGAACGAGGGCTTGGTTGAGGTCTTCGTCTACCAGTGGTCCAGCCTGACTTGGGTGAACGAAGATTATCAGTTTCTCCTGCCGCTGCGCTCCCCTTGCCTGGAGACTCCAGCCGAACGAACGGTGCTCTTGCTGCTTCACCAGGGTCACTACGTGCTCATCTATGACTTCAACCAGCTCTCGAGCACTCGCAGCCCCTTGTTCGCAGACGGTCAGCGAGCGGAAGGTCACAACCAGCGCCTTCGCTGCCATCGCTGTATGGCCACCTTCAAAAGTCCGGAGGCGTTCGGGCGACATGTGGCTGCTAGGGCTTGCTCTGAAGAGCCTGGAAAGCGCGAGGTCTTTGATTTGCAGATGCCCCAACCCGCGGCCAAACTTCACTACAA